TACAGATAACGACAATAGAAATTATTATAATATAGTTAATGAGGTAATAAATATTGGACTATGGAATAAGTTAAGTCTTAGACATAAAATAAAATACATTACTATTATGTTATGTAAGGAAAAATTATTACAGAAATAGCTATGGAGATAAGGAAGTTTTGGGGATTAATGTGTGTAGGACTGAAGAGAGGAGAGTAATTAGAGGACTGATTAGAGAGTTGAGGTTGGTTATAAAGTTAGATAATAGGACGGGAAAATTATCTGTGGAAAAATCTTTGGACCGGGTGGCTTCAGCGTAAGATTTTGGTCTGGGATGAGATTTTAGCGCCGGAATTTTGGTTGGAGAAGCCTTGAGAGGACTTGAGTTTTTTTGAGCGCTTATGAAAGCAGGGCAGCCCCTGTAGTTGGCGGTGTGGTCCCCGGAGCACAGGGCACATTTTGCCGGGCAATTCCGATCTTTGGAACATTCCTTGGTGTGATGATTTGCTCCGCATTTAACGCAGCGAGCGATGTGGTAACAATAATTTTGAGTGTGGCCATATGATTGGCATTTATGGCACTGCGGAGGACCGCGGTTCTATTTGTGCGGTTTTTCTATAATGACTTTAGTGTTAAGTAAAGACGAAATTTTTGTGATACCCACATTGTTTGCATCTTGAGAAACTTCTATAAAAAATAGAGGTAAGGGGCGTTTGTTTTTATCAGATATGTTTTGAACATGTACGACAGAGTGTCCCAATTCTGATAGAGCAGAAACAATATCTTTTTCAGTGGTAGAGAAGTGTAAGTTTCTGATAACAAACCTGACTGATCGAAATTGACGGGGTTTGAAGGTGTGGAATTTGGCGTCGGTGTCATTTAGATGTTTCACAATTAAGTTAAAATTTGACAAACTCGAAGGCTGAACAATAAGATATAATGTTGAAGATTTGCACGTGAAACCATTCGGACCGATAAGATTCGTTAAGAGGTTTTTTAGCTAGTTATTACCTAATACTATATAAATTACTATATAAAATAAAACCATCTTTTTTGTATGTACGCGCATAACTCAAAGAGTACGAAACGGATTTTAGTACAGTTTTCACCGAGGTTGTTTCACTTATGAATAGGTCTAGACTCAGAGAGGGTTTTTATGTATAATTTGTTTTGGAAAAATGAATTGTGTAATGAAAATAATAACGATAATGCGAATAATTTAACGCCGTAAGTCGTATTAAGTGGTGTCAGGTTACTTATTGTCTTGCATTGTTTTACACAACTTTTTATCTGGGAACAGTTGTTTTCATTTTTGTAGTAATTATAAACTTAGATTGTGCTTATATGATATATCTTTCAATACATATATAAACTAACGTCTCCTACTGATTCATAATCAGCGCAGAGCCGAACCTATTAGAGTTATCGACTAGAAGTTTTGTGGATAAACGGGATTATTATTCTTATTTATTTAAAAGGGATTTAAATTGGCAAAAATTAAATTTGAACGTGTACATTTTATACCTATTTACATTATACTTATACATATTGTGTGTTATATAATGAACTATACATTCGTCGGTCAAGTATATTTTAGTCAATTCTTTCATATCTCAAGAAATAACACAAGTGTATATAGCTGTAGGTATTGATTAAAGTTAAAGATCTCTTGCATAGATTTTCGGGGATTTCTCTCTCATACATAATCTAACCCAACCTAACTGTTCATATAACCACACATTTTACACCGTTCATACCACATACATTTATTCTATTGTTAAACAGGGAAATTTGAAAGGTCATTAGTTCAAATGTGTGCACATTTGATTGACAATTAAAAAATAAACGTATTTTATTGTGATTAAAAAAATAATTGAGTATTAAATTAAAAACAATTCAATATATAATTTAATTTAATTTTTTTTCAATATTGGAATAGAACTGATTTTCCTGTACCATGCTTGACCAAGATGGAAACGACAGGCTTTGATAATAATTAAAGGATATACTTCTTTAGCAGCAATGTGAACTCCAAGTTCAAAATCTAATAGTAAGAGTGAAGGCTGGAATACACTATTGGCATAATTTAAACATAAATCTTTTAATGTTTCCCACATTTGTTTATAATTGTCTTTTGTTTTCGATGGTAAAAAACAAAAAGCAAGTGGTACATAGTATTGTTTACAAAACACCGTGGATGGTATATTGTTGATAAAAATGTTTCGGACAATAAGAGAAAGTTCCGTCTGCTAATATAAATTCAATTTCATTAAATAAAAAATTGTAGATACTAGATTTGTTTTACATGTCACTATAATTATTTGAGCTGACTCATTCACACACACAAATTTTTCACAATTATTTAGTGTGTTGATTTATTCTTTTATAACATCTAATAGTGACACAGGCACTGCCCATGAATTAAGATACACTAATATACCTGATATAGGTACCTAACCTACTAAATATATCTTAATTCGTAGACTATTCAAATATTTTGGTTACTAATTGACAATTATATCAATAATATTTGTATACAATGTGTCCCAGGGCGAAGTGACCGGCCACCGCCTTATGAAAGTATACCTAAAATGACGAAGAAATAACCTTTAAAGTGGAGGTCTAACTCTTTTTTTTTTAAGTTATGGGCAATTTAAGTTTTTTTAAACCAAACCAAAACTACCATGGATTTTTTTATGTTACTCAGAAACTTTTCAACATTTTAACATAATTTTTTTTTTATTTTAAAGCTATTTAATTGTCCTTTCAACCGACATACGCAATTAAACCAAACTTATGTAAATTATTATTATTAAATTGAAAAAAGTAAATTTTTTTTATCAAGTTGGAATTTTTAAAATTAAATCTCGTATTACTCAAAATAATTCAATATTTAGTATGGGTTATTTTGGGTGTGTATTATTCTACAGAATAATACCTAGAAAACCTTATAAGTTTGGTTTTCATATCTTTCATAATCGCAGAGTTATACGGAGCTAGACATTACAGGTCTTTTGTGATTTTAATTATTGGCAATTTATAATTTTACTAAACATCAAGTCTAACTTAGGCATAAACTCACTAGAGGTGATATAAATAATGTAATAAGTCAATTTTTTTTTTTTAATTAAATGAAAATAAAGTAGTTTAACAAAAATAATAAATAAATAACAAGGAAATAAATGTTATGTTTATACTTTATTTGATTAATTAATACGATTTTCAAAGTGTTCCCCACCTGATTGCAAACAAGCTTGAGCTCTAAATGAAACACTGTGTAGTCCTTTGTATTTCAGCATGATTTTGTCGTATTTCTTCTGCTGCTATATCAATGCTGTCCAATAATTGCTCACGGCTCTCGATGACAACAGCATAAACTTTCTGTTTCATGTATCCACACAAATAAAAATCTAAAGGCGTTAGATCGGGAGATCGTGGTGGCCAAGCTATTCTACCTTCACGCCCAATCCATTGTGGATAATGCGTATTCAAAAATTGACGTACTGAACGAGCAAAATGTGCAGGAGCGCCATCAAGTTGAAACCACATTACTTGGCGAGTTGCAAGTGGTCAGTGGTTAGCATCTTCTAAGAGTACTGGCAATATCTCTCGTAAAAATTCCAAAAAAGAATCTTGATTTAGCCGATTAGGTAAAACATATGGTCCAATAACTAAATCGTCTATCATTCAAGCCCAAACATTAATTGAAAATTGATATTGGAATGTAGTAAGACATAGAACATGGGGATTTTCAACAGCCCAGATATGTGCGTTACAGTGATTAGTTATACCTATTCTGGTAAACGTGGCTTCATCCGTCCATAAAATATGTTTCAAAAAATCCACAGTTCTTCTGTGTTCACGAAGGAGCCACGTACAAAAAACTAATCTTGCTGCACTATCCCCAAATATTAAATTGTGAGATCGACGAAAATGATATTGGTGAAGGCCTTCTTTTTTCAAAATTCTCCATACAGAGGTCTTTGATACACCCAGCCTTGCAGATATGCGACGGATACTTGTAGTCGGATCCCTAGTAATTATACCCAACACTTCTTCTTCTAATTCTACATCCAACATTACGCCTTGTTCATTACGATTTCGTACTAATCCAAACTCTGCCAGGTGTCCATGAACGATGAACGATCGATATCCTAAAACAGGTCTTTCCGGATATCGGAGCCTATACTCTTGCACAGCGGCTCGAGCAGTGCCATTACAAAATCCATACACAAAATGCATATCTGACCAAATAGCAAATCAAATAATCTTGGCATTTAGAAACTTTTTTACAAATTTACTTACACAATTATTAACTGAATAACAGGTCTAGGTACAGATGACACGACAACTTAAGTGAACCGAAGAAAACAAAATGACAATTTAACTAAAATTTACCGAAATAAATAAAATTAAACGGTTAACGATTAATTAACGAGCGATATTCGATTCTAAGAAAACTAAGATAGTGATTAGTGACCATTAACAACGTATAACTCTGCGATTATGAAAGATATGAAAACCAATTTTATAAGGTATTCTAGGTATTATTCTGTAGAATAATACACAACCAAAATAACCCATACTAAATATTAAATTATTTTGAGTAATACGAGATTTAATTTTAAAAATCCCAACTTTTGATAAAAAAAATCCGTGATAGTTTTGGTTTAGTTTAAAAAAACTTAAATTTCCCATAACTCAAAAAAAAAAAAGAGTTAGACCCCCACTTTAAAGGTTATTTCTTCGTCATTTTAGGTATACTTTCATATGACAGCGGCCGGTCACTTCGCCCCGGGACACATTGTATAATAATTAATTATTATTTCTATCCCAATGTACTTTTGTCCAAAATTGGGAGTAATGTGCATTGGAGCAAAAATATTTTTAGAGAACTAGGCCATTCGCTTAGTGTAAACATAAACCATAAAACAGCTGATCGATAACTTGATAACCTGTGGTAATTAATGATTATATTTATTTCTATATATTTTATTCTAGTGACATTATTTAGTAAGTAGTTTTTACAATTTACATTTACTGATTACTACATATAAAAGAAGTTACGTCTTAATTGATATATTTTTTGGTATTTCGGTGTTATTACTTATTAGTTATTACTATTTGTATCTACCATTTGGTATTTACTATTTGCTAGATAAGATTTTAAGATCTAAGATATTAAACCATTATTAAAGAAGTTGAACGTTTAACATATTACCTATCTATTTGTTTATTTTATAATCAAGTAAACTAATTTTATAATATTATTTTAATGGTTTAATTTCTTATTTGTCTTATAGTCTTGGTGAACTTAAAACCAAATGTAAATTTTCACATTTTTTCCTGTAGTCTGAAATTATACACAAATATATTATTTATTTTAACAGGTGCACACTATGGTTTAAAGTTATTTAATGTGATTAAAATGATAACAAAACATCAGGTAAGGAAAAGTTTAATAAAGATCATTAAACAATATTTATAAAGGTATGCATATAATATGTTAGATAATGAATGAATTAATTAGGTAATATTAATATTTGATGTTATATTGTTTAAATCGTTTTTATCTTAAGTACACATTTAAGTTAATGCTTGAATTTGTGTTACAATGATTACGTTTACCCATATCATTATTTATGATAAATATATTGATTACACTACAAAATACTTTTTATTATTACATGCTATTTAAAAGATTTAATTACCAATTTAACTCTTACCCATAACTTCTTGAAATAAATTTGAAGAGATTCAGTGCAGCTGACTTTATAGTTTACATAGTTTGGCCAATATTTGATTCAAACCATACCAAACGGTTGTTCAGAATAGCCTACAGCCTACGGGAATAGGTGCATTGCTATACTTTCATTCCTCTCAGCCAATAATACTCGATCACAGCTACAGAGCTACAGATTTCCAAACTTCTAATAATAGAGTAATTGGGCATAAGCTAATAATTGACAAACTAATTAGCTTTAAATGGCTATACATTTAGACTTGATTATTTTATATTGCATTAACATAAATATTTATTTTTTAAAGGTCAGATGTCTTCTGCAACAATTGGCATAGGTGCTATTATTTTAATTGGACTTTGGTCGTCATCTTTTATATTGTGTCTTCTGTCCCTTCGAACACGTCATAGTATTGGACCAATTGTTTTGGTATTTACAGTTTTTATAACAATTATATTGCTTTCAATACCTCGCAGTTCAGTAGAAACATCTAAAGCTAAACCAGATATTAAGGTATGAATCATTCAAGATATATTTAGTTTATATTTTATTTATACATATTATTTAATATAAATCGTTTTTATACATTTTTAGATTGTAGATCCACTGTTTGTTTGGCGTTTAGCCACTCTGAGTATACTGTCTATAAGTACAGCAATAGGATTAGCATCATTGTTCTCTTCACATGTTATGAGTCGCAAGACTGTGCCTCAACTTAAATCTTGGGTACTATAAACTATAACATAAACAATGTCCTTCAACCGATTTCGTTGTTTAGAAAGAGTCCACCAAACAACTAAACGATCAATGTCAGTTGGTCGTGTCTATCGTAAATCATTTACAGTATGTGGCAGTGAAGACTTTATTCAGAATGTATTAAAAAGTGATATTCCAGTTATTGTCAACTTCCATGCAGAGTGGTGTGAACCTTGTTTAACATTAACACCAATGTTAAAAAAGATGGTTGGGGACTCGCCATCTGTACATTTAGCATTAGTGGATGTTGAAAAAAATGCTGATTTGGTTCATACATTTGAGGTAAAAGCAGTTCCGGCTGTTTTAGCCATTCGCGATGGCCATGTCATTGACAAATTTATTGGACTCATTGACAATGATATGATCAATGAAATGGTGAAAAAAATGTCTAAACCTGAAGAAGTATAGATACAATGATAATCATATATATTTATATAATTCTATAAAAGCATTATATTGTGACGTATATAATATATTATAACTTTTATTGTAGTATACTATTAGCCCGCTTTTAAACCAGTTTTAAGACATTCATTTTTTAAATGCTAATTATTTCTAAAGTTAATTAAAAAGTTGAATGTTACTTCATTAAAATTCAGCTTATAATTCATAGTATATTCGACATGTACTGTTTTTCTAGTCACTATTATGTTATTTGTTTTATATTTCTATTGAAATATTTAATAATAATTTGTGTTTATGTAAATATCAAAAAACATGTATTAGCCCCATATTTTTTTTCTTTTTTTCATATAGTAATTTAAACATTGCATTTACTTGTGTAACACTTTATAGAGTACTGAAATAATTCCACTTTAATTAGTCACTCTATTGGTACAATGTGAGACATACCGAATTCTAATTAAAAATTGTTTCCAATTTGTGTTTTCTAAATTATTATAATTTTTACCCAAATAATTAAAATACTTTTTATTCATATGTATTATATATTTCTACTACAATACCTACTAAAATTGTAAGTATTTGAAACATTAGTAGCTTAAGTAATTAACAACTATGCTAAGAATTTTAAAAGAGTAACCATGGGTTACTGAGACTGGCTTCCCTGTAAGACAGCAAAAATGGGTGTAGAGTATGTACGTAACAAGTGTCATGCTCTTGAGAGTAATACTTTATTATTTCAATAACTGCCAAGCTTGCATTTTGCTAAGATAAGCGCTGTAAAGTGATTTTTTTTAGGCACGGCCAATTGTTAGAAACACTGACCGCATATAAAAAAAAACCATTTATTGAGGGATGTGATCGAACCCAATCTGCAACCACATGTATACTATCACAAAGACTGAGGCAAAAAAAATCTGGTACATATAATTAGGTAAAAGGAAAAATATGATGTTAAACTTTCAATTAGTATTAATATAAATTATTACTAAATGATTTACCTGACAAAATAAATAAATAATATTGTAGGTACCGATATTAGCAAAATATATCGGTTAAATAAATTCTTTTAAATATTGTTATGCATTCATATGTACCAGAATTTTTTTAAATAGGTATATTATTTTTTTCGACAATAGTTAATTAAACGGATGAGTCATAATATTAGATAAACATTATAATTATTGAATTTTTTTTTTTTAAATTGTTATACATTTATTATATAGATAGATATACCAGATTTTTTTAGTTAAGATAGTAAATACTTAATTAGACTGAGAAATCATCATAATATAATATCATGTATATGATGGTAATGGTACCAAGTACCTAATTAATATCATTGATTTTTTTTAAAATATTGTTACATAAACATATGTACCGGACTTTTTTACTGCGATTCGTTGCCAGAGGTTATTATTATCATTGAGTATTTGGGTATATATGCTTTAAGTATCAGTTCTATTATATGCGATTGAGTTTTGTTATGTAAAATAACATTATTCATACACACTGACACTTAAAATTTAAGAATCAAACATTTTTCCGTACTAATGTTTTATTGATTATTTCATCCACATATGTCTCAGTTAACTTTTAAAACATTGCAATTTTTAATATTATTTAGATAATAAATGGTACATATTTTAATGCAGTAAAAACAAACTCTTGTAATGTTTGAATGAAGTGTCACTAACTTTTGATCTTCTAAATGTAAAAATAAGAATATTTGTTACATTTTATTAATAACAGTATAAATAGTCATATATTACGATTTAGTCAAGTATGCATTTCTAAATTTCTAATTTAAGAATCACAAATTGTATCACGGTGACTATCATGAATTGTTTTTTATATGAATAGTCATGTCCATAATATTTAAATTGATTTAGTGATTAAAATATTATGATTAATATTCCCATCCGTTTGTGTATTGGATAATTTGGTTTTATTCAATGTTTTTTCTGGGAAATTTGAGCCTCTATTATTAACTGGGGAAACTTCTTTCAAAAGTTTTGGCAAAATAATTGTGCTTAAAAAATTATAAATCTTTACTGAATTTCTATATTCTTGTTTCTTCTCCCATTTTAGAGTTTTGTTAATATCTCTTTTCCACTGTTCCTTCATCATATTCAACTTGTTTGATGTTATTTTTATCTTTCTATTTATCTTTCTTGTTGTGCTTGATTCTTTTTTATTTGTTTTTAGACTTACATTTGTAATAGTCTCATATTTTATATTTTTAAATGGATCACGACCAATCAGGGATATTATAGTATCTGTATACAACTTGTATTTTAAATCATAAGATATTGATTTATCAGCCAATTCGAATGGTACATTTAATCTGTGTACAATAATACCTTTATTTGTAAAATAATGTTCCAGATAATTTATTGATGCTAATTCATATTTTTGATTGTTATTTGCATAAATACTCTCTGTTATATTTGTATCATGCATGTTTGTCCTAGCTATTGATACTTCGTGGTCATGATAAATATCTGAGTTTTCAGATTCAAAACTATTAGAAATAATTTCAATGTTTTGCTCTAAATTATTATAATTTAAACATATTTTATTGTTTTCATTAATAGTCAAACAACTGTCTTCGCAACATTTCTGAATACCTGTTTTCATATGATTATTTGATAACAAAATTATAGTATTTGGGTAACTAATATCTTTATTAAATATACATTCTAATTGCTCCACATATAAAGGGAAAATATCTAGTACATATCCTTGGTTACGACATGAGATCGAAGAGAGTGTTTCTTTAATTAATGGCAATAAGTAATAGTTGTCTAACCATCCTTTGTTTTTATTTAAATTGTTTTCATATTCCTTATATTTTGCATTCAAATGTTCTATCATAAATTTAATGTTATTAATTTCAGTATCCTTTTCAAGTAAATCTCTTTTATTTTTTGTGAATAATTTATAATTGTCATGCTCTTTAAAATAATTATCGTATCTTAAATTATTGAGATTTAAAGTACTTTCTGACGAATCTGTGAAAATTTCATTTTCTGACATGTGTATGTTATCGTTCACAATTTTAAGGTTGTGTTTAGAATCTTCTATCATTTCATTGTTATTTTGTTCATTATAAGAATAATTATCTACATTAAATTGTTCATTAATCTGATCTGACCATTCATCAAATTGAGCAATTAATTTAGCTAACGCATGTTTGATATTGGTACGTTTTACGAAAAGATCATTTATTTTTAACTCTAATTCAATTCGATCATTTTTCAATGAGGTGAAATAGTTATTTATTAATTTAGGAATGTTAATCAGTTGTACTTTATAATACTTAGCTAAACGCTTTGCAATATTGGATGACACGTGTGTTGGTTGCCCACTAACTATAATTTTTAGAGAGTATAATTTATTTGCTTCAACAAAATCAAGTGTCAATTTTTTCATATTTGATATTATTGATGTTTGAAGTATCTGATTGTCGGGTATAATTATATCTAACATAGAATCTATATTTAAGTCGCTACATATTAAATCCCATGTAAAACTATTAAATTTATATTGGTTTATAATTAAATGGTCTTCCTTTAAAACCAAATTTGAATTACAAAGTTCATCACACATGGATCTTATAATGTTATTAAAACCATATGATTCTTGTTCTACTGCCAGAATATAGTTAGTCTTAACACGATCATATTTTGAAACAATGAAAACTAATTTGACTAATTCATCAACATGAAACACAGGCACTGTTCGATTCAACATGGTAATATACATTTCTTTAGGATTATGCCAAGCACTAGTAAAAACATGATGTAAAGCATTTTCTTCATGACCGTAAATAATGCCAGTACCAATTATATATGTTTGAAAAATATCTTTGATTTTTGATGAATTAGATTTTAAAAGTAATTTCTCAAATTCAAAAATAATTTGGTATTTAGCTATAGGCAAACGCTCCAAAATACTTTTTTCCGTAAAACTAGTATTTACCTCTTCATTCTCGCTATAAATTTGATTATTGCAAGTTTCCTTAACCCAAGTCATTGCAGTTGATATTAATATGAACTTTCTATTAATTCCCTTTTCCTTAGATCTAATTATTTCCTCATCACTATAATTGATTAATTCATTGTATATATAATTAAAAGAAAATCTAGCTTGTTCTAATTCTATTTCTGAATCATTGGTAATGTCAAATATAGTGACACCGCACTGCATTAATTTCGTTAAAATTTTATTTTTTTTTATCACTTCACAATTATTTAAATGTTCACGACTTTTACTAAATTGATCATTGAACAAACTTGTAATTATTTTTAAATTTGTATCGTCTTGGATTATTTTTTTGAATTTTGTTGGTTGTTGTAGTGGCATTAAATGAGGTATGTAAGACGTGCCAAGTTGAATACATTTATTCCTTAAATAATTCATTTTCATAGTATTTGAAGGTTGATCTAAAAATTCTTGATGCTGTTTTTTTGTGAGAAGCCCAATACTACTCATGATTTTGATATTTTCAGTTAATAATAACAAGTCTTGTGTTTTGTTTGTTATATTGTGAAATTCAGTGTTAAAAAATTTGTTTTTTTCCTTATTTAAAAGCGTAGTACCGGGGATATAAACAGAATTATCATTTTTATCAATTATTTCATTAATATTGGAAGTTTTTTTAAAATATTCTATGATATACTTTCCATTAAATGTATCACCGTTATTAATAAATACCTTATTCTTTGAAAAAGATTGTCCACATTGACTCAGGCGTTTGGAATGGGTATGAGCATAGCTGTATTCAAAAATTGTTGGAAATTGAAAAATACTTGAGTCATTAGTCAAGATATTTGATGAATTCATATTTCAAAAACATATACATCTAATGATTAAACCTCTATAATTTACTTATATCTTCAAAGAAATAGGTTTATTAAAATTCATGATACTCAAAAATAATATTATCATAATTTCTATAGAAACTAAATTATATTATTTTTGTAATATTAACTGCTAGTATAAGCAACCACTTATATAATTTAATGCTTCTAAATCAATCATTTTGAATTCCTTAAAATCTGTAAATATGATTAATATTTACTTTAAAGACAATTTATACGTTACCAAGGTACAAAAACAATATTAAATAAGTTATCAGAAAAGTCAATTCATAAATTCTTATTAACACCAAATTTGAATCAACACAGTAGTGTTTTTCTGGTCAGTTTTATTTTATTTAAACAATTAATTGCTTAAAAATGTATTTATAAATATTCATCAAAAAGGTAATAGTAACATTTATTTTCAATTGTATATAATATTTAAAATTAAAATAAAACTTTCGTTTAGACGTTAATTCCATCATCTTCACTATCATTTTCAATCTGTTTATCCCAGTCTTTAATTTTAGTGCCGCCCATAAAATCATCTCGGAGAACATCCCAACCACTTTCATCATTTTCCTAAAAAAATTTTTTATGAATTTAATTTTAGTATTATAGTTCTTTAGTAAAAGTGCATAATAATTAAGCTTAGCATTTTTTAATAACAAAATATATCAATGAAGAAATTAATGTATGTACTTACTTTCCTATGATCAATGGAATCAATAAATGATTTTTTATCTAGAGATTCCAATACTTTGTCTTGTTTTAAAATTGATGGTCCTACATTTTTTAATTTCTTCTCTACAGTTCTTTGTTGCTGTTTAACTAAATTGAATAGTTGTACAACACCCCTAAAACAGATTTATGTAATAAAATATAATAGATAAAGTATTAGTAATATATTTGATTAAATTGAAAAATTACTTACTTTGTAGCAATTTTTGATAAATTTTTTTCTTTAACTCTATCACTAACTGAAGGTTTTTGTCTTCCCATTAATACTTGTTCCCTTATCTATAAAAATTAAATATAAGACATTAAATTATTAATTATAATAAATAAAACATTTAAATTATTAGTAAAAGGCAAAAGATTCTAGTTTTGTGAAGTATTGATTATAGACAGTTATATAAGGCATATTTTTTAGGGTGGTTAAAAATAAGATATATCTCCTTAAAGCCTTTTAGATACTGAGCAAAATGATGAATATATTACTTTAACAATGATTTTATTTTATTCCTAGTATACACTTAATAGGTAGTAAAAAAAAAGCTCCTATCTTCAACTTTGAGCAAGGTTTTGGATAGCTAGCTGAGTCTAGTATATTGTATATACTTAAGACTTAAGAGGATCAAATATAGTTAAGATCTAAAGGTCTTTATAAATATGTCTAACAATTATATATACTTTACATTCTAGATATAAATTATATATACACCTAATACCTAATTCAAGTAGATGGTGCTGTGGCGGACAGAATTTAAATATGGATTTCGGATAGTATTTTTAAAAGAAATACCTACACGAATTCGATTTGGTATTTTTGGTTCTAAATGTTCCAAGTCTGGTTTTTCATCTTTAATTTCTTCAATATTGACCGGTACTGCAACTTTTTGACCACCTTTATCAACAACTTCAAATGAGTTATCTACATCCTCTTTTTCTTGCTTTATTTTATTAAGGTCAGTTTCTGAAATGATCTTTGCCTTGGACAATACTAATGGTTTTCCTTTCCGCTTTTTTGTTTTTAAAATTTTGCTCATAGCATCTGCCCATGCTGGATTTGCAATTTTGAGGCTATCGGTAGCCTCGCTATTGACATCCACGGAGACATCCATTATAATTTTATGAACTGAAAAAAAACTTAATTAGGTAACTGAAAAATAATTAATATAAATTGAATTAAACTCACTACTATTCTACTATTATTTCGGGTCAAATAAAATAGCCTGCACTCAGTGTCCTGAGACGGATATTGTTCCGACTTCAAGTAGACACAAACACCAAATTTGTAACTAAAATAAAAATATCAACGATTGACAAATGACAATTAAACCATCAGAGTATTAACTATTAAACACGTGAACGAGAAGAACGAAGAACGTTATCATTTACTATTTCATTAATTATATTATCCCTCGTGAAGAAAGATAATAATATAATATCATCTTATTTCATGATAACATATTATCTATGTTTATACCACACTATCACAGTTCGAGCCATATGCATAGATAATAAAGAGACTAATTTATGGCTTTATGATGCTTACGCAATCTAGATATCTCGATTATAAAGAAGTTCTTTAAAATCGTGGATCATATACAATATGATCTAAGAAGATAATAAACTAGATTGTTAATTAATGATTTGATGTGAAGTTATAGTACTATTTCCAAAATTAAGAAAATTGAGTTATATATTGATTCTCGTGGAGAAAAAGGCGGGAAATCGAATAGTGACTTCAAATGTTGACTTAACGTACTATTTCCTTTGTTAATATCAATCTGAAGTTCGTCAATGACTCAAAAACGCACTGTTTCCAATGGTAAATGGCAATAAAACTATTTCCAAATTATGTCAAAAGGTAGTATTTCCCATGTTAAATTATTTTTTCATTTGCCAAAATGACATAAAACGTACCAATTCCTTAAATGTTTACAAAACGTACTATTTCCAAAGTAGGGCATATTGCACTTATTTCCTTTAGTATTAACATAGGGAATGGAATTGAATTAAATGCGTAACGTACTATTTCCATTGGTCTTAAATTTTTATACAACACGTCAACACATTTTTAGTTATATTATTGCTAAATTAAATTATAAATAAATATTGTGCGGATTACTTATTTTCATTTGCTTGTATATTTTTATTTTATCAGCTGTCAGCTGATAATAAAATATCAAGTCTCTACCATGATTAAAGATAAACCTATACCTATATAGTATGAGCTGCAGCGCTGCAGGTTTTTCCATAATGTACTATCAACAGGTAGGTACACGCGAGCGTCTGACGTACTTTGTTGCTGAGCTGTAACAATATAATAATTAATAATAGTAATAATAATACTTGGATGGTCGTTGAAAAATAAAATAAACCTATGCTACTCTACAGTGTGAATATATGGTACATGTATAGTAGAACCTTAATGTGCGAGTGAATAACTAATGTAGGTATACCTTGTAACAATGCTTATTCATGGTTTAAGATTACTATCGGATGGTTCTGCTGCAGTTAGATACTTTGGTCCCCAGGATGATGTTTTACAATTCGTTAACTTTATTAATGATGAAAACGTGCCAACTTAAAATATTATATCCGCGCGAGAGTTTACCAACAATATATATAAAAGAGTAGGTACGATGATTATGGTCGACTCAAATTGGTCAGAGGATAATTTTTCAACAATTTTAACGCATGCGAAAACAAAGAAATCGTATGGTTGATTGATTATAATATATAATTCATTATTACCGTACAAAATTGTATAATTTTATACTCAGGTATAAGTTAAAATAAACTGAATAATTAACAACTAAGGGAAAATAAAATATCTATAATTGTACACTTTTTACTCTTTTAGTATCAAGGCAGTTGAAAAATATTATCAAGCCATCCAAATGATAAGTACCTACTAATTTGAAAAAAAAATTTGAATAATATATTGAATGGAGGTCCGAAAAGTTGGGTTCAATATTAAAATGGTTTGTGGTCTAGAAGGAAATATTTAAGTTTCTATAAAAAATCATATTAGTTATTTGGGTTATATAACTCAGAGTTGATAGATAACAAGTAATAAAAATATAAATAGATACTCGTACTTCAATAAAAAAAACCTTCTAAAATATATAACACGCTATAAGTATCTACCTACATTCTAACTAATAAATTGTTAGAAATAAACTTTTTAAATTACATTTGACGAAGCGAAGTGCATGTAAATATACATACGGCTAAAATAACTATTAATTATATTCAACATCATAGCTTGTCGGCTGACGTCAAATTTAATTCTGGTCTTAAATAATTTCTTAATATAATATATTATAATAGGAAATAATCAGCAGACACCTGCAATAGATAAATTATTCATATATGCATATATAACACATAGGTACCTAACTATAATAAAATAATATTCATATTCAATTATACATCTAGCTATTTGGTAACTATCGCTGGATTGACGAAGTGTGTGCTGAACATCATATAATATACCTATACTACTTAGGGCCTAGGTATATACATCAATCGCAATTACATCACTTGAAATGTCAGTGTAATCACCTCAACCGCAGTTTGTTTGACGTTCATATATCATTATTCCTCCACTCTAGCATGTACTATATATGGACGTTTCAAAGCAACTGTGACACTATATACCTATACAATTGTATGTACATAGCAAAAATACAAGCAATAGGCACGACGACCTAATGTTTTTTTAGGATGTAGAAAGGATAGAATGTTGTTTCACACACTGCCGAATCACAAGTATGAATTAGGTAGGTATACAAGATAGTTTCTTTTTGAATATATTGAGAAAACAATAATTGTAAATTACCAAAAAGAAAAACATTGAAAGTCATCTGCCTGTGTATAATATAGTAGGTGTCGATTTTACCTCGTCATTGAAAGATCGCGCAGTAATATATGGTGTTAAATTGGAATTCAATAATAAATCAATTGTCTATAACACTGGGTGATTAATTTATCATTGAACACTTATTATTCAAAAAAGTATAAATGTTTTTGAAAAAAACGACTAGAGTCGTTAACAACACTTTTAAAAAAATGTCAATATTTAAAAAAAAATGTTATCTTCAGATATTGTTGTAAGTTTTTACTTTTTTTAATGACAACATTTTAGATTCTGAATAGAGCGATGAATGTAATGATTTTACAATGATGTGTGTTTTTATATTTGTTTTTTTTTCGTGTCTGTCATCACGGTTTCGGGCAATAATTATTGTGCTTCAATTTTCTTCAACAGCAACTTTTCTGGTAGGAAAGTGAATCTAGTTGGTGCATTCGGGAGGTTAACATTTACAATTTATATTAGTTTTTAAAAGCAACAGGAAAAACAAACGAAAAATTAAGGAAAAATTG